TTACCCGGACTTCTCCATCAGAAAAGGACAGGCCTCCGAGCCTGAATAGCGGGTCCTTGGGAAACTCTCCCACCAGCTCTGGCAAAAACTGGCAGCACAGTATGAAGGCCACATATAAAGCATATATTGACATATCAATAGTTTGATATTGTAGATCAGTGTTCCTCATTGCAAGGCCCGCGGGCCACTGGCAGCCCCTGGTGGCCTTTAGTGCGGCCACTGTGCGGCCCCAGACAACATACAAATGTGAAAACACTCCATCATGATGTCAAACCCAATGGTTTGACATGTGTGGCGGCCCTTGTACTGATGTCTTATTGGCAAAAGTGGCTACCCTCTGAAAATTAGTGAATAACACAGTTGTATATTGTGGTGATTGCAGAAGACACATAGCCATACCTTTTGACACCGGAATCCATTGTTGTAAACGATTGAAGCCAAAACCTCAAGGAGCTCATAGTAAAGCCACGATCGGCACTCATTTATGGCTGTGATGATGTACGACACCAGATGCTTCAAACAGTCATCGTCAATTGGAACCTACAACAAGAGGCACAAGTCACAACGTGGCCTGGCAGTTACATTAAACTTAAGCCAAGTTAACTCACACAGCATTGCATCAATGCAATCATTTAAAATATCAGCTATACACATAATTGGCAAACAATTATAATTTCCAACATTAAAACAAATTATTTAACTGAATTAACTTATATTTCTTTCTAAATCAGCATACAGTTCAAAATATGAGTGGGTAATAAACTACAGATTATTAATTACTGTACGTGGAAAAACGGAATGCTATTATTTGAAAAACACGACCGAATGCACGATGAGTTTAAATGAAGCTTCAGTGGGTAATTTACTAATAGTAAAACAGATTCACAGCGGTTTACCTGGAGCCTGCTTATCAGGTGGCTGATGAGGTGGCACACCTTCACCAGCAGATGTTCCTGCTGCCAAGGCACCAGGTGAGTAGCATGAACCAGGAGTGCCGACACCTCCTAAACACACACATATTGGCCTCGGAGTTATATTAACCAAATATTAAAGTTAACGTGATTGTTAAACAGCACTGCACTATCAACCCAACGAAATTAGTTTGATATCTAGATATGGTGAAAATAAGGGGGGGGGAGTGATATCTAAATTGGTCCTAGGTGCCTCACCTTCACCAGCCTGCACTGACCAACGTGATGAAGTATGGTCAAACAACTACTATGATTGACAGGGTTTGGGGAGGTAATGGACTTATCATGTTCAATTCATGATCATACAAATAATGTTTTGTTGGAGTCATCATAGTTTACAACCCTTTGCTGGATGAAATCCATGTGATGAGGTTTGTGGATGCTCATACTTCACCAAGCAGCTCAGTGCAGGAAGGAGGGGTCGCAGGAGCAGTTCAGATATCACTAACCACAGATATTTAGCTGTAGTCAGGAATTAAATTCTGGTAGCTGGGTTCATAGTCGAGTACGATAACCACTGTGGCTACTGCTCCACCCCATGCAATCATATATCACTCAGAATTTTTTACAAATGGCCCAGTGATGACGCAACTCTGGACAATACTTACTAAATGTCCAATTGTGTACATCACTGCCTTGCTGATAGCCAACCGTGGATGTCCGGCGTTCACCTTTGGCCATCACATCACATGGCGACGGTTACCTTTGGATAAATGCGCCCAAGTGACGGCAAGCATCGGCTATCGATGGGCCCAGCTAAGACCAACGTGGATCAGAAATGGCTCAAATGTGTGGCGAAGTTGGCACGTGTGTCTGCGAGGTATCTTTTGACAACTCTCTGGGCCCAGACGCAGAGAGGGCCTCCCACGTAGCGACGCACCCGCGGGTCAGGCGCGGACGTCTCCGCGTTGGACGAGATCATCTGGTCGAGCAGCAGATGGATCTCGGTGCGGGTGGCCTCCGAGTCAGCCGTGTCCCGTACGGCCATGAGGCGGCCGTGCAGCCGTGACAGCTCCATGAATGAGATGGTGGGGGGGCCTTGCCTACGAATGAACGAGAGAGACAAACGGCAAGAGGGTTAGTGAATGAATGAATGAAGAGAAGGCGTTGTGGGCCATCAGTGTTGGTGTACGGTGCTTTTTCTGCAATATTTTGCTGTCTTTTCTTGGATTTTCTGTTTGCAATTAGTCACATAGTCACTTTAAGATGTTTTCTTGTTCATGTTTGTTTTTTTTTGTTTGTTGCGGTTGCACCCGATTCAAGAGCCGAATGGTTCACACGGCTATACCTAATCAATGAAACTTGAACTTGAACGGACCGTATTCTTGGTTCTTTCGGTAAAGTCACGTAGAAGGGAAATAATAAAATAATAAAAATATAAAACAATAAAAAAATCTAAATTTGAACGGACCGGTTTTAGTAAAGCGATGCCGGGTCAGAGGTTTAGCCTCCAGGTGCATGTAACATTTGAGAGGCATAGAGTTGTACACTTTGGCAACGCATTATCTTCATACGTTACTTAACTTGGGCTCTTAGGTTAATATGCAGTTTAGATTCATTGATAACGAGATAATTGTTTCGCGTGGGGTTTTTCGCTCCACATCATTGGAATGATTTAAGTTTTGTAACAGAATGATTCTAAGTTTCTTCCACCGTGTGGGTGGAATAAGTCGACTTGTAACAGAAGTTGTATAAATGTCTAAACACAACACAGATTACAGACGTACTTGTGTCCAGGCTTCATCTAACAGTGTTGCAACAATCGATTACTACTTACGGTTCGCTGATGAAGACGCCGGGTAATCAGAAATCCGATGAGCTACTAAGCTCTTTGTGTCACAGAAGTCCAATGGAGAAGGGCAGGCTGAGCGAGGAGTTACATCAACAACGATACAGACAGACGACACAGTTTATCATTCACTATCAAGACAGCGAAAAGGCTAACAGAGTCGCTAAAGCGAAACGTGAAATATTACAAAGTACACATTTTGCCCATCAATCGCAAACATTCGCCCCACATTAACTTGGACGCCAAAACCAGTAACGAAGCCGAAGACGTTTCGCCTGAACGCCTGAGAGTGTGAGAGAGAGAGCGCTCTCGCACCCAGCTAGGAGGAGGAGCGAGGGGAGCGAGGACGCGAACTCAGAGGCAGCGTGCGCACTTGGGCGGCCATCTTACGTGGGGGTGGAGGGTGGTGGGGGTAGTGGGGGATGGTGGTGGGAGGGGGTGGGGGGGGATGGTGGTGGGAGGGGTATTGGGGGGGATGGTGGTGGGAGGGATAGTGGGGGGGATGGTGGTGGGAGGGGTAGTGGGGGGGATGGTGGTGGGGGGGTAGTGGGGAGGTAGTGGGGATGGTGGTGGGGGGGGTAGTGGGGGGATGGTGGTGGGAGGGGGTAGTGGGGGATGGTGGTGGGGGGGTAGTGGGGGGGGGGGTAGTGGGGGATGGTGGGGGGGTGTAGGGGGCATGGTGGTGGGAGGGGGTAGTGGGGGGGGTAGTGGGGATGGTGGTGTGGAGGGGTAGTGGGGGGATGGTGGGGGTAGGGGTAGTGGGGGGGGGGGGGTTGTGGTGGGGAGGGGTAGTGGGGGGGGTAGTGGGGGATGGTGGTGGGAGGGGGTAGTGGGGGGATGGTGGTGGGAGGGGGTAGTGGGGGGGGGGTTAGTGGGGGATGGTGGTGGGGGGTGGGTAGTGGGGGGGATGGTGGTGGGGAGGGGGTAGTGGGGGGGGATGGTGGTGGGGAGGGGGTAGTGGGGAGGGGGTAGTGGGGGGGATGGTGGTGGGGAGGGGGGTAGTGGGGGGGGTAGTGGGGAGGGGGGTAGTGGGGGGGGGTAGTGGGGGATGGTGGTGGGGGATGGTGGTGGGACCGTGGGGTGTGGGGGAGGAGGATGGTGGTGGGAGGGAGTAGTGGGGGAGATGGTGGGGGAGGGGGTAGTGGGGGGGGGTAGTGGGGGATGGTGGTGGGAGGGGTAGTGGGGGGGATGGTGGTGGGAGGGGGTAGTGGGGGGGGGTAGTGGGGATGGTGGTGGGGGGGATGGTGGTGGGGAGGGGTAGTGGGGGGGGGTAGTGGGGGATGGTGGTGGGAGGGGTAGTGGGGGGGATGGTGGTGGGAGGGGGTAGTGGGGGGGGGTAGTGGGGGATGGTGGTGGGGGGGTAGTGGGGGGGATGGTGGTGGGGAGGGGGGTAGTGGGGGGGGGGGGTAGTGGGGAGGGGTAGTGGGGGGGATGGTGGTGGGGAGGGGGTAGTGGGGAGGGGGTAGTGGGGGGGGTAGTGGGGGATGGTGGTGGGGGATGGTGGTGGGACGGGTAGTGGGGGTGGGGAGGAGGATGGTGGTGGGAGGGAGTAGTGGGGGGGATGGTGGTGGGGAGGGTAGTGGGGGGGATGGTAGTGGGGGGGGTAGTGGGGGATGGTGGTGGGGGGGATGGTGGTGGGGAGGGGTAGTGGGGGGGGGATAGGGGGGATGGTGGTGGGGAGGGGTAGTGGGGGTGGGATGGAAGCTTCCGTTCAACTTGAGGCTGACGTCACGCCGAGCTTCGCGGTGACGTCACGCGTCCGTTATCCCCTCGCCTAATTGCAACAGATTTGACTCCACATTTTTTGGTTTTATATTTTTACAAAGTCCCGTCCGTTAAATGTATTGCACTGTTCGCCGAGCGGCGATGGAATTTAATTGACGACGCGTTTGCCATTTAAATGCATGCCTTTTCAACGCTTTTAGTCGTATTTTTTAGTCGCTCAGTGCGTCCTTCCCAGACATTTTTCTGACAACCCCTTTATACACATTCTAGATTTGAAGCTTTCGTGACTGCAATGATTCATACTCTTAGGTTTTTTTTCGGTAAAGTCACGTACGTAAAAAATAAAAGTAAAAATAATTATTATTTTATTTCTATTATTATTAGAAAAAAGCAAAAAAAAATCTAAAATAAATATATTTATATTATTATTTTAACAACATAAAAGTAAAAATTAAAATAATAATTAGTATTCTTTTATTTCTATTATTATTTTTACTTTTATTTTTTACCTACGTGACTTTACCGAAAAAACCTAAGAGTTACCAAAAGAACCAAGAATATAGTTGTTGTTTAAACTCCTAAGTCAACTTCCGGTGGCGAACGGAAACGGCGGTCGCCTCGGCAACCACCGTGCCGCGTGGTCGCCTAGGCAACCACCGGGCCACGTGGTAACGCGAGCGGCGCATTCTGCGGCCTAGCGGGCGACATCGCTGACTTTGGCCGCCCGCGTCCTCACGACGTCTTTTAAAACGTTACCCGTCTCGTAATTCAGTGGACGTCGCCCTCCTCCTCCCCTCGCCACCGCCACCATGTATCAAGTGAAGGAAGGGGAGTTCACGGCGACGATTTACACAATGGTGGGTGGCGAGTGAGGCCGCCGCCTCGCCTTGCTCACACACAACACAACACGTCCACTACGCCTACCTGTCAACTCACACAGTCTAACACCGTTACTCTTGTACAGGGGAGTTGAGTATAACGTTTTGTTGTCTAGTTGTTTGCGTATTTCTCTCTTGTGGTGGGGCATTGTAGGATGAGCTTTGAGATGTATAAAGGGCACGGGGTGATCGATACGGTCTGAGTTGGTCTGTCATAAGGGGTTGACAGGTACGACTACGTATGAAGAACAAGAATAGGTTTTACCCATTTATGGCAATAAAACAGCTGTTACGATGTTCAAACACCACGTAGATTAATGTTGCAAGCAATCGGTTGAGTCGTGGACGCTGGTTTAAATGTTGAACTCGCGCGTTAAACGGAGATGCCTCGCTAAATCCGCACTAAATCGCGATTTTAAGTTTTCGTGACTGCAGGTATCCATACTCTTTGGTTCTTTCGGTAAAGTCACGTAGATATAAAACAAAATAAATTAAATCACGACGTTTCGGGCGCAACACCCCCGTCTCAGCAGTTGTTTCGTGCTGTGGTTGTCCCACCTGATGACGGCCCGAAACGTCGCGATTGAATTTATTTTTCGATTTAAAGCTTTCGTGACTGCAGGGATTCATCTTCTTGGTTCTTTCGGTAAAGTCACGTAGAAGGGAAATAATACATTAATAAAAATAAAACATAATAAAATACAATTCTCACTAGTGAGAATGTTTTACTTTTATTATTTTATTATTTCCCAATTCTCAGTGAGAATTGTATTTTATTATGTTTGATTTTTATTATTTTATTATTTCCCTTCTACGTGACTTTACCGAAAGAACCAAGAAGATTAATTTATTTTGTTTTATATCTACGTGACTTTACCGAAAGAACCAAAGAGTATGAATCCTCTTTGCTTTCTCTTATTCGATGAGGCCGGTACATGCAGGAGTTGAACGTGGTCCTTCCGATGGCTTCACCGTTAACTTAGAATAGTGTCACGTTTGTTTTGTTTAACCGTGTGAGAACTCAAAGAGATCCAGACAAAGTGACCCCGGGAGAAGAAGTCTGCCAGTAATAGGCGATGATTGCCCAATTGAGCGATTTGCTTCGGGAGAGAATTTCGCGTAATTTCACTATTCCGCCTCGGTTGGAGGAGCGCAGACTACAGCGGTCGACTTTACAGCCCATCATTTGGGTCGCATGGTCAACCCTTATTATAATCATGGGCTGTATGGTAGAGGCACGAGGATTTGAGAACATACGCAAGTGAAGAGACATTGTTTAAGGGTTAAGAAAGTGTGCTGACCCCAGGACTTAGCCGATGGTCGAGACGAACGATGTTTCGTGTCGGCCAGGAGAGGGCAAAGCGCACGAGTGGTCGTCCTCTGCATAAATGGAGCGATGACATCAACTCGTTGTTATTGTTGTTGTTTTTGCATGAAGGTGCATGAACATGTATTGCGAACATCGTGAGAGCATCAGATATGTTGAGACCTTCATGCAGCTGTAGATTGACCGCAGCTAATGATGATGGATAGCATAATAAATAATACATTGGGGATATTTTCTGACGTTAACACAGCCTAAAAAAAGCGACGCAAATGGTTATTGGCTGTTTGAGGACGTTATAATTGTTCTTTAGAAAGGGTTGCAGTTCCTGAGTTTAGAGGTGGGAGAGATTGTTATTTATATGTACACACAGTTATAGAAAATGATTATTTTACGGTTGAATTTCCCTTCCTACATACTCGATTCTACCCCCCCCGGGTTTTGGCAGACTCGCATACCTGGCACAAAAAGACAAAGATGCCCCGTATAGCCTTAACAGACTCTAGGGGCAAGTGCTGTTTGCGAGCACATATAAAGGCTGCAACGGTACAGGAGGGAGTGGGTGGCCAGTACCACGCCCGACTGCCTTTGTCTCCCCAGTGGCGATGTTTACACACCATACCAAATACTCATTTGAGGCTGAGTCGACCTAGGGGAGGCCCGGGACCGGTTCAGATAATCGTCACTGGTGTTGGCCGTGAGCGGTAATCGAACCCGGGTCGCCGGGCTCATAGCGCAGCGCGCTAACCGCTGCACCACCGCTCCCCGCACGCACACAGATACACAAACATCAGATAAAATCCGCCTAGAGGAAGGGGTGGAAAGCTGATCGAGCACAAAAATTGTTATTTTAAACTTGGAAATCCCATGTATCTAATTTTAGCCTTTTCTTACTTAGGTCACTTGTCGCTCGTGTCCCGTAATTGTTTTTGCGCTATTATTGGATAAAGGTTACAAGTGCGTGTTATTGTGTGGCCCGCAAAGGTATTTGAAAATCGATTTGCGGCCCTAGTAAAGTAAAAGGTTTCTCATCTCTACCGTATAGCCCTTATAGACTGTGGAGGGCAAGTGTCACTCGCGAGTTCCTGGCGAACGTCGAGGCGATGTATATTTGGGGACCCCCTGTATCCCGGATGCTGGGCTGACATTGCTAATGAGTTATGCAATGTTGGGGATTCTTTATTATTGTTGTACATTGTATGTTGTTGAACTTCTTTCGCATATAGCTTGCTTTTATGGTGCAGAGAGTTGGAGGCATTGGATAAATAGGATTTTGTAGATAGCTACGGCAGGTGGTTCCGTGGATATTGCAACGAGGAGGGGGGCTGTAGATTCTAGATTTGAAGCTTTCGTGACTGCAAGGAATCATATTCTTAGGTTTTTTTCGGTAAAGTGACTTTACCGAAAAAACCTAAGAATAGGGGGCTGTAGACTTGAAAAGGAATCAGAAGGGTTGAAAGGCCAAGGTCCAATAAACTTTAATGTTATTTTACACACAATTTAATACATTCAGTTAAGATCAACACAATATCATTGCCTGTGTATGGCTCGCAAGATGTTGGTTTTTCAATATTGGGTCTGCATATTGTAAGAGACTCAGTAGTGTACAACAATTGTTGTGTTTTAATGCAATGTTAACATGTGTGATAGATCAAAGATGGTCGCTATGGAGAAGCGATCGAGATCCTCAACAATGAGCTGCAGAAACAGCCCAAGGTATGATGCAATGCGAGGTATTTAATATTTGAATATAAACCGCTCCATTATATGCAGGTGTACCTATTCCAACTCTTTTCAGGGCTCCCGCAGTACCATATCACACAGCTCAGTGGCCACATTTGCATGCTAACTCAAATCTCACTAGCTTTTAATCGAACAAAAAGTATTAAACATAGCCGTTGATCAACTTGTAATGTTTTCTGCCCACAGTTCACATACATGAGTTGTTCATTTCCATGACCAGTGTCTATACTGAATACCATTTCCAATAAGGTATTTTTTAAATTGACAAGTATTAAAAGCAAGCAGTTTTCAGAACTATTGTACTAGTACTTGCTTCAGTCTACAATATCACCATCAATATGGTATATCATAAAATTAAAGTACCGTAATGATTGTGTTACGATTGTATGTATCATTTTTCCTTGACCAATTTTTACGAATATTTGTATTCATTCCACCAAATGTTGCTTCAACTGCAATGTTCCCTTTTACCCCTCCTTCTGCACACTCCCAACACACACACAGTCCCGACCGGCACTCTCCTTGCTGGCATACTGCTCATTCCAGATGCAGGACTTTGCTGTTGCTGCTGAATGCTACGAGTCATTGGCGCAGCAGGCTGGGCTTGGCGACGAGGGCGCCGAATATCGGCTGCGTCATGCGCAGTCTCTGTACCGTGCCAGTGCCTATGCTGAGGCTCTCAAGGCCACACTCGCTATGGAGGGCCCTGCTTATCAAGCCAAGGTATCCGTGTGCACGTGCACACGTGTGTGCTTGGTTGATCACTTCCAGAACTTCGGTGGCAGCGCATCTCAGATCTTGTGTTGTCTGTGTGTTTGACATGTCCATCTCTACCGACCTTATACATTTGTAACGCTTTTCAATGCGGGTTGAAATAATTTATGCATTAGCTCTCTCTGTCCATCTATCTGTCCATAATGGGGGAACAATAACTTATAAAGATGATCCATCATGAACCAAACATTAGTTTTGTTTCTGATAGGGACGTACCCTATTGATAACCAGCCGAATATTTAAGACACAAAACCAGGACTAATAAGACCTGACTTGGCATCCCAGTGCAGCCGCTGAGGCACGCCTTCTCAGGCAGAGCCAATATCCGAGCTATGAAAGTAAGTTAAGGAGGGGGACTGCTAAATGTGCAGGGAGAAAGATGATCGAAAACAAGATTGGGCACAGGAATAACAAGGAACAGAGAGAGATAGAAGATTGTGAATGAAGAGGACGAGAGGGGGCATAGAAATATAGGAGAGAGGCGAGATAGGGTGAGGAAAGGCCATGGAGAGATTTATAGATGAGTGTAAGGTATTTGAAAAGACAGTGATAGTCAACGGGAAGCCAGTGAAGTTGACGGAGGAGAGGCGAAGTCTGAAAATTAAATGGTAGATTGAAAATAAACCGCGTGGAAGCATTTTTAATTTGTTGGAGGGGAGTGAGTGCATAGGCAGGGGGACCGAGAAGAAGAGAATTGCAGTAGTCCAGACGGGTAAAGATCAGAGTATAAACCCCGAGTATGGCAACAAGATAAAATGAGAGGGCAGATTTTCTTGATATTGAATAGATTAAAGAGATAGATACGAGTTGTCATGACGAAATTAAGTACTTTCAAGGAAAAACTCATGTTGTAAAGTGCTACGTAATCTGTGTGTTTGCGTGATTTTTCTCTCTTGTTATTATGTAAATAGTGTTGCAGCTGGAGTCAGTTCCAATGAGCATTGCAGCAATTGATTAAACTGAGCTGTGGAAGTTTCCTCATTCCCAGACTCCTGGTGTTTTATATTAATTTAAATATATTTTCCCTATGCCTGCTGACATTTAACTTTTTAATTGCTAATTTTGCTGTTGTCTCTTTATGTCTATAATCTCAGGTCCTGAAATTGCAAGCCGCGATTAAATATGGGGAAGATGACCTGACTGGCGCCAAGGTGATACACTTGCAAGTGTGAATGTGTATGGCCTCACTGTATTTTGTTACATGTTTAGAGTGTATTAATGTATCTTCTTGGTTCTTTCGGTAAAGTCACGTAGAAGGGAAATAATAAAATAATAAAAATAAAACATAATAAAATAATTCTCACGACGTTTCGGCCACAACGCAAGCAGCCGTCCTCAGGTGAAGACTCTATCTTCCCGACAGACCTGTTCTTCACCTGAGGACGGCTGCTTGCGTTGTGGCCGAAACGTCGTTAGAATTATTTGATTATGTTTTATTTTTATTATTTTTTTAATTTCCCTTCTACGTGACTACCGAAAGGACCAAGAAGATGAATCCCTGCAGTCACGAAAGCTATAAATCGAAATGTATTAATGTATTCAAAATGGGAAAACTCCAGTATCAGATGGAATAACTTGGGAGATCATAAAGAAAATAGAACCAGCTGTTGGATAGAAAAGATCAGACCTAGATAGGTATTGTATTGCACAGAAATGAAATACCTCAATAAAGAAATGATGCCTCAGTTATTCTTCATATATGAAGGGGTGACAAAAACTGAAAATTATGAGCCTCTCATCACACCTATATACATTGTTCACAAACATCATAGATAACCAAATACTAAATATTGACTTAAAGCTTTCGTGACTGCAGGAATTCATATTCTTTGGGTATTTCGGTAGTCACGTAGATAGGTTTAAAGAAAATAACAAAAAACTACGACGTTTCGATCGCAACACAAGCATTCGTCATCAGGAAGAATAAAAAGGGGGGACAGCTGCTAAGGCAGACTTTTAAAGGTTTAAAATGGGTGTAGCCAAATTATGTCGACATTTCTGGAAGACTTTGCTGTTTTTTACAGGATTTTTTATGTTGCGGATAGTCACTTTAAGATGTTTCTTGTTCATGTTTTTGTTTTGTTGCGGTTGCACCCGAGTCACGAGCCACATGGCTCATAGGGTTAAACCTAAGAAATGAAAAGCTGAAAACTGAAACGTAGCCAACTGTGCACATCGAATGTACGGTGGAAAGACAATGATCAGGGCATGCTAGAAAATTTAGCTTGCTTAATATTCTATGTAGCATTGCTCTGCACACAGCTCAATGTTTGTGAAAGAGAGGGACATTACGCTCCCTACATATACACCTTAGAAAAATTTTCACAAAATGGCCATTCTAAATCGTATAAACTTCCCATCCAGCGTATTTCATTGTTTGCTAATCTCAAGCTATATGCACATTGCACACATCATGTTGGGGAAAATATATGAAAAGCGTGTCCAGGGAGGAGACAGTGAATGGCGTTTTTGAGAACCCTTATTCACGTGGTTGTGTAATGTATCCCGCAGAGCCTGGTGGAACAGTGTGCTGCAGATGATCCAGACACAGAGAACAATCTGGGCTGCCTGTTATATAAGGAGGGCCACTTTGACGAAGCGTGCTTGCGTTTCACCACTGCCATGCAGCTTGCGCCCTACCGACCCGGTCAGGACCACACCTGGTGACACAGATATTAGTGGCAAGACTCGTTGATCAAGATACCATTACTATAATTCACATTCATTAAGTGAGACTTAATAACAGTGCCGGATTATCCTAGTAGCAAATGTAGCATATGCTACAGGCCCTACACTTTCAGGGGCCCCGCGCTAAATGCTTTCAAGCTATCAATTCCGGTTCAGTGATTCTGAACTTGCTCTATTACTATAGTACTATACCGCCTTCAACTTTTATGAACGACTGGGTGTTTAAGGTTAGCGATTTGTCGTATTATCTTGTTGTATAGAAAAGGAAAAAAATACAATTACTTTACTATGCAAGTAAAAAAATGTGTGTTTTAATATTTATGTGTTTTTTATTTAGGGCCCCTTTATAACACATGCTACAGGCCCCGTACTAGCTTAATCCAGCACTGCTTAATAGTTGTAGAAAAATGTATATGTTTCCACGGTCATTATAAACCAGGCACGGACCAGGCTAAGCCATTGTCTTTAATGCTTCAGCTCCTCTGTGCATCTGGAGATAAATTTTTGTAAAAAACGTTACATTTTTTACAAGGCTTACTTAGGTTAACTCACGCTGTCCAAAGCTAAAATGTGTTTTTATTTTCTTCTATATATTTACATTAAATGACGGCCCTGAAGTTATCCTATACGAGAGACACCACTGACTACATGCATATCTAATGCATTGACTCAGTGATGTCAAAGCTGTGTACGAGAGCTGCCTGGGTAAAAGTGACTTTAAAAAAAACTTTCCTTTGGAAAGTGCAGCCCACAATGAAAGCAGGTCATGTGACATGGTTACAAGTCAATTGGCCCAATAAAGTTGCCATAGGTATCTGGGCTGAGGACATATTCCCAACATGCACACTGGGCTAGCTCAGACTTAAAACTTTCGTGACTGCAGGAATTCATATTCTTGGTTCTTTCGGTAAAGTCACGTAGGTAGAAAACTTTAATATAGATTTTGTTTTTTCCTCTCCTCCCCCCCTCAACTCGCTTTTAAGGGATTACATCTTGAATCATTGCCTCACTTGATGCAGCTGATCTGGCTGTGACTGTCCCACCTGATGACGGAGACTTGTGTTGCCTCCGAAACGTCGTGATCTTTATTTTATTTTATTATTTTTATTAATTTTGATGTTTTACCTACGTGACTTTACCGAAAACACCTAAGAATATGATTCCTTGCAGTCACGAAAGCTTCAAGTCTAGAATTTTTTCCATCTACGTGACTTTACCGAAAGAACCAAAACTATGGGCTGGCTCAGTTTAAAATGCTGGTGCGGATGCTGCATGAGTATGAGTGTGTCAAGGGTTGCAACTGAATGTGGTGCACTATTGAATCCCCACCTGTGATTTAACCAAGCACTAGAATTGCATGAAAGATTTTGTGATTAGAGACTGTAAATCCATTGGAAACGTCTCAAGCCCATGTCAAATCAATGAACTATGTCATTTACATTAACAGGTGGAACCAAGATTAACGCTCAGTGGGATAATTGTACTTTGTTTTACATTATTTATGTCTCTTTGTATATCAGTAAATTTGTGGTAAATTTAAGATTTCAGGTATTTCCCCTCAGATGATGTTTTCAAATTAGTTTTTATAAATGTTTTTGTAATTTGTATAGTGTTTATTACAAAACAGGCATATACTGTGTGTGTATTGTAAAGGAAAAAGCGTAAAAATTACATTTGAGAAATACAATGTAAAATTGTCGTGTATCTCACATACAATGATTAATTACTGTATAGTTCCTCATTAATTCTGCCTTTAACCAATACCAACACATGCACTGCCTGAATGTGAGTGAAATAACACAAATGAGCACTTCTAGATTTTGTAATGAGGGTAAGATTTTATGGCAAAATGAAGACTTGTTTCTTACAAGTCTTTCTAAATAAAAAAAGCTATTTAGTTAATTTGCATCTTTAAGTAATTGGGTCCATAATCCGCTTAATTATCCAAATATAACTTTGTTAAAAAGGCAACAAACAATGTTTCAAACACACGCGGAAAAATGTAATTTTAAGATGTGTTTCGACATTTAAGTTATTTACCAGCTGTATTGAAGATATGATCATTTACCTTTAGAAAATAATTGTGCAATGGTAGAGATGTACAACAAAAAACATGTAAACGTTTGAGTCACATGCCATAGTGATGCACATCAACAAAGCTGAAAACCAGATTTTCCCTCTACAGTCATTGGCAAAATTTTTTTAAGGATCAGTAGTCTTTACAGTTAGCACACAGACACACATTATTATGCCAACTTTATGGGAACTAAAATAACTGGTTATATGGAAATTCCCATGTAATAAATTACCATTGAAATGAAACGATGGAAGAAGTTTGGAAGACATATCATCTATAGCGACGCCGAAGAGGTGGGAGTAACGAATGCAGATGACTGGCACGGTTAAATTACAATTACTCTAACTTTTACAGTTTATGTCCCTGTTAATGTAATTCTTAAGAATCTACATATTATTTTGGCATTTTATTATGCAAAAACCCGATTACTTTTAGTGCTTCGAGGGAGCATTGTGAGAAGAGTATCAACATTCCAGCTGTCGCTTATTTTACATTAGAGCAACGAGTTCTCTGCTAGTACTTGTAGAAAAAATTGCCATGCATACAACAATTGATTCACATGTAATTAAGTGCCGTTGTTTCAAACCATATTAGCAACTTTTAACTTTAAATGTGGTACGACGATTGATCAATTGTTTTTGTGGGATTAAATTGAATTCAGGACTAAATAGTTGCTTGCTTGGAATGGAAGCATTTTCCAATTGCTGGCCACACGTGTTGATTTGTGCTGGCAGTACTCTGCTCTAATACCGCAATGGATGAGTGTATGTCTAACTGCTGCTTCATTTTCTAGATCTATCCTACAACCTGGCGCTCTGCTACTACAGCATGAAGCAGTACGCCCCTGCCCTCAAGCATATTGCTGATATTATTGAGAAGGGCATTCGCACGCATCCTGGTAGGCAAGGCACTATGCGTGTGCCTGTGTGTATATGTGAGGAGCGATAGTGTAGTGGTTAGCATGCTGTGCTACGAACCCAGTGACCCGAATTTGATTCCCACTCACGGTCAACACCGGTGAAGCTTATTTGAACCAGTCATGTGCCTCTCCTGGGTAGACTCGGCCTCAAATGAGTACCTGGTGCGGTATGTAAACATCGCCACTCGATGGACAGAGGGAACTGGGTGTAGTGTTGGCCACTCACCCCCTCATGTGCCGTACTGGCCTTCATAGGTGCTCATTAACAGCACTTGGCCCAACAGTCTGTTTAAGGCTATACAGGGAAATTTTTGTGTGTATGTGTGCATTCTTGGCATTCTTATTTCAATTTACAGTCAAATGCATTAATTTATGTTTATGAAGGGTTGTTTCGTTTTTCTGGAAACAAACTGCAAAATTAAGTTTCCCATCTCTGAATTATTACACAAATTCCTATAAATTTAATATATTATAATTATTTATATAATGTTAATTTACATAAATAAAAAAGTTGTCTTCACACAGCTTACCAGTACTATAGAGGAATTGAAATCAAACTATCTTATGTGTGCCAATGAGTACAATGTAATCATTAATAACGCAACAGAATAATTTTTTATTGAGATATACCTCTAAATAAGGCCAGATGCTTAAAAGATATGCATAGAGAATACATCTTACAACTTTGCCTCATTAAAAAATGTACATCAATTGATACCAGCCAGACAATTTAATTTTTCTAAGCTAACCACTTTTCTGCATTCATTTTTAAACTGAGCCAGAATTATCTTACCTATAAGTGTTAAATCAGGTATGTGGCTCCCAAGACAAAAACGTGGATTATATCCACAATAATTCATCTGGTGATTTGATGAGGTTCCATGAGTGGCATCGCAATTCAAATTTAAGAATATATTTTTTGTTACATTTTATTGTATCATTCGAATTGAACTTGTTTTGTCTTGTTTGTACAACTTGTGTCCACTACATTTGCCTAAATAGAACATTCACAATATCATTTGCATGCATTTTATTAAAATCATCACTTATCACATGCATGATTTAATATGTGGGGAGTGTAATATCAATGAATGTGTTCTTGTCTAGTGGATTAATTTGCTGGCAATTGATTTTCTACTCGTTCATTTTATTCCAGAGCTGAGTGTGGGAATGACTACAGAGGGCATCGAAGTGCGCAGTGTGGGCAACACGCAGGTTCTGCATGAGACAGCCCTGGTTGAGGCGTTCAACCTCAAGGCAGCCATCGAATATCAACTGAAAAACTGTGAGCACAGCAATAATAGTAAAAATGTGGTATATTTATCCAGGCAAACCTCTCCAAATCTGATGGTTCCTTTGCAGGAGAGCCCTGCATTTATTTTGTTCACCATTGCAATTTCGAAATTGGATTTTTACTTGTGCTATTTTAGCTCAAGAAATATCGTGGTGACTTCAGTAACGTCTCGCTTCCGTGCATACAGGAAGGCTACATTTACACAGAAAGCAAGCTATTGTGTAAACAGTTTAGTGTGTAAATTTCTTCTTGTTACCTGTTAATATGCAGTTGTACATTCACAGAAATGGATGCATGATAAATGACGCAGTTTCTCCACTCTCCATCTTAGCCTTGTTCAACAATACATTGGCATTGGTATTTTATCAATATCTGATACTATTTTTGTTTTACTAATTGCAGTTTTACCAGGAAATCCTCACCAAGGCTTAAAACTCAGGGTCCTACATTGGGATATTTGGCCTATTTCATGAATGTTTACCATATGGGAGGAAAATACATGCCAAAATATCTTATTTATTTGAAACTTGCAAATGGCAGTGAGGCAGTTAGTGCCATCCATTTAACTTTATCGTTTCCCCGCTGCCCAGGTCAGGTGATAACCTCTAAAACAAATCGAACTTGCATTCTGAAAGGAAGATATTATTTCAGATAATTTTGTGTATTATTGATCTTTGAACTAATTTTGGTTCTCACGTTGTAAACATGACAAACATCTTTCATCTTCTTGGTTCTTTCGGTAAAGTCACGTAGAATGGAAATAATAAAATAATAAAAATAAAACATAATCAAATAATTCTCACGACGTTTCGGCCACAACGCAAGCAGCCGTCCTCAGGTGGAGAACAGGTCTGTCGAGAAGACAGACCGAAAGAACCAAGAAGATGAATCCCTGCAGTTACGAAAGCTTTAAATCGAAACATCTTTCATTTTATTAGTAATATGATGATGAATGTATAATCAAAGCATGCCACGAACATGACGTGTATGTAAAGTTTGTCTCTGCATTGTGAATCTACCCAACATATAAATATGGTAATTATTATTGATATAGGTTACCCTACATAATTATATTATTAAGTACAGAATATGTTTTGTGCAAATACAAAGTATAAGGGTTACTTTCACACTGACATGCAGGTACATTATTCATTGAATATACTGTAATCGAAATGTAAATGCATTACACGACATTAAGTACTTTGATTTGAAGCTTTCGTGACTGCAGGAATCCATACTCTTTGGTTCTTTCGTAAAAGTCACGTAGGTAGAAAAAAATAATAGATCACGACGTTTCGATCGCAACACAAGTGACCGTCATCAGGTGTGAAACAAACACAGCAGGAGGACTGCTGACGTAGGAGAAAGAGCTGCTGCAACAAGAGTTTATATAGGATTTTGGTGGGCCCAACCCAAGGGTAAGTGGGCGAAGCTAGAGATGAAATTTGTACGTAAATGTAAATGTGAGAGATTAGCATGCCAATGTGAGACGGTCCCAGCCAATGAGAAGATTAGCATGTCAATGTCAGAGCCGGGCAACAGGAACCAAAAAACCCTAAGAGCAAGAGGTACACATGATGAGAGGGAGACACAGAGAGAGAGAGAGAGACACACACAGAGAGTCAGAAATAACAGCTGACATAGGCAGCCTAACCTGCCAGCCTACCTGCCTGCCTATGTCAGCTGTTATTTCTGACTCTCTGTGTATCTCTCTCTGTGTCTCCCTATCATGTGTACCTCTTGCTCTTAGGGTTTTTTGCTTTCTGTTGCCCGGCTCTCTGACATTGACATGCCAATCTTCTCATTGGCACGCCTCCGGTGGCTGGGCCGTCTCACATTGACATGCTAATCTCTCACGTTTACATTTATGTACAAATTCCTTCTCTAGCTCCGCCCACTTACCCTTGGGTTGGGCCTACCAAAAGCCTATATAACATCTTGTTTCAGCAGCTCTTTCCCCTACATCAGCAGTTCTCCTGCTGTGTTTGTTTCACACCTGATGATGATCGCTTGTGTTGCGATCGAAACGTCGTGATCTACTATATTTTTTCTACCTACGTGACTTTACTGAAAGAACCAAAGAGTATTAAGTACTTTGCATATATAGTATTCATATTGTCAAATGATTTCTTGTTCAAATGAGCATTGAAGCAGTGCAGCACCCATCTGTTTACAGCCGCAAGCCAATGGTGGAAATGCCTATGGTGGGGGCGAGGCTATAAAGCCAGACAACCACAAAGCGGGACTCATTTTCTTCCTCAAACCTGTTTGCTACTCGTCTGAAATATTATGATTTATACCAGTGGTTTTTAACCTTTACTGCAGCCCTGCACCCCTTTGGTTCTCAATTGTAAAACATGTTCATAAATACATAGGGTTATAAAAAAAACATCGCATGTCTCACAGCAGCAGAAAGGGCATCTCGCAGCTCCAGGGGGTGCGTGCACCCGAGGTTAAGAATCATTGATTTATACGCTGCGGTAACTTAAATGTTTTTCACCAAGGTCGTCTGCGGGTCATTCTTGTGAATCAGCTTAAGGCTCACTATTTCTTACCCGTGTAAACAAATACAATCAATCAATTCTTGACCCCAGAGGGCCCCTAACCAGGATTTGAACTTGCAATTTAATGATTGCGATATGCTCACCCTACTGCTGAATCATATGGCCAGATATATATAGTGTACATACACATACATTATATGACTTACAAATGACTGTATACTTTTGAGTGAATTTTTTTTTATTGGTGTCTCACCACAGTTGAGGCTGCGCAGGAAGCACTGACAGACATGCCCCCACGATCAGAAGAGGTATGGTGCTGCATAGAAACATAGATATTAAAGTGCACCACTGGCAACATACTAACTTGTCTGGATGGAGTTGCATAATTACGTAAAATTGCCCATCAATTCGTCCAACCTGATATACATGACCTGTCATGCTTCTAGCCTGCTCGGTATGAGTTGGTGATGTCATACCCTTGAAATGTGTGAGGTTCCCCACACCTCTGATGATCACGGTTGGCTATGTATGGTGTGAAAGAAGTTCAACATACGTACAAGATGGGAATGCTAATGGGGGTTTTTGGGTGATCTAAAATTTGACAATGGCAGGGAAATCCATTCTAGATTTGAAGTTTTCGTGACTGCAAGGATCCATGTCAATAAATTGTCGAGTAAGCGCCCACCATGTAAGAACAAAAATCTCTGCCAAACCTCACCATCAATCTGTTATGTTAATCCTATCGTAAGTGTATGTACATTTTATTTTAAATAAAACAATTGATGATTTTATATTTAGATTGTATTTACTGAATTTACTCTTAAGTCCTTTTAAACTGTTATTTTTTATGTGCTCAGCTTTTCCTTGTGTCTCAGTGGAACCTATACTTGAATGGTTATGAATTTCATTCCACATGAAAAATATACAAGTTTGATAAGCTTACCAAGATCTGTAGATTACAATCAATATACTTCATACATCCACATAATACAAGTTTTAATCCCCAAAAATATGCTTCTACACTAATAGCTTCTACCAGTTGTTTCCTCACAGGTCACAGCTCAATAACATTGCAGGCAGCCAGATACAGCATCACTTAGCAGCATCCATATCTGGCCATAATGCCACTGACACAAAATTCTATGCCAGATTTTTATACCAAGCGGTGAATGGAAAATGTTTCATCATATCAAGAAAGTTGTTTTTGTTTCAAAAGTGAAGCGGCTCACTGTGAGACAGAGCTTAATGGACAGTGGGTGATAACATTCAAGGTCAAATAAAAATGTGACATTGCTAACCCTTTTATTTGCACGCAGGAGTTGGATCCGGTGACTCTGCATAACCAGGCACTCATGAACATGGATACCCGGCCCAGTGAGGGCTTTGAAAAATTGCAGTTCTTGCTGCAGCAGGAGACCTTCCCTCCGGAGACATTTGGCAACCTTCTGTTGCTGTACTGTAAGCATGAGGTATGATTTTATAGTCAGGCTGTGAGACTTGCCTTTTGCAGGTGGTCTCTGTTGTTTTAACCAGCATGTTATGAATGGATTGAGCCCATTTGTCTTTAAGAACACTAACTTCCTCTATGACTTGTCCTAGTAACATCAAGTTTTGCTTTGCTTTTCATTATCTCATGGTCTTTGAGCAAGTAGTGGTGGAGCCAACTTAAGCACACATGTGGGCATGTCAATATCAGTGCACCTTTCACATACTTCACATACATTGTCAATAAATTAATATAACAAAAACTCACATCCATCAAGAACACTGCCTTAAAAGCAGTGGTCCTTCTCAATAGCACATACATCAGATGTTTAAGATGGATTCATATAGTTTGGATGATAATTAATCACATTACTGCTTTGAGAAATTATTTTAAAAAACGTTCAACTGCCCCAAACTCTGCCCTGTTCTATATCTTACACAGATTTACTAAACGCATTATTGCCTGCTCATTGGGATTACGTTATTGAAAGTAAAATTCCGCTCACTTGCTCTCACCCTTGCTATGTACTTGTCTCCCTGTGTGTCTGCAGTATTACGACCTTGCTGCAGATGTTCTGGCAGAAAACGCTCATCTCACATACAAAATGCTTACACCGGTAATGCATAGCACATGCAGTACTGCACCACCTTGGCAAGATGACATGGTCCGCAGTTGTCTTCACGCAATGTTGTTGCTCTACCCTACCTGGATGAGATGTACATGGGTGGAATTGTGGAGTTAAAATCCTGTTTTCTTTAGTTTGAGTTAGGCTGTTATGAGGTTGGCCGGAATCTGCTATTTAATTTTTAGGTCTATTCATTTGCTGTAGTGTAATTGGTTAGCACACTGGGCTGGCAATCCATACCATCTCTCAGCGTGGCGGTTGAAACAATGGGCAAGTTTGTTAAATCCTGCTGCCTCCATCTACCCAGCAGTATACATCGGTTTACTACAGTTGACTGGCAGTTGCAGCGTGAAATAATGATCAATTATATTGAACAATGCTACGATACCTACTTACACGTCTGTCTGTCTTGTGGTGGATTTGCAGTACCTATATCAATTCTTGGACGCCATGATAACATGTCAGACTGCACCTGAGGAGGTAACGTAGAGTTATTTTTTTATACACATGTAATTTTGATTAAATGTTTATTTGTAACATCATCATTGAAGTGGTCACATAAATACATTGCTATTTACATGTATTTATGTGACCACTTTTTGTATATATTAAAATAAAATCAATGCAAGTATATTTAATGTCATTACTATGTATAAAGTTTGTTTAATGTTGACTGCATGTTTTTATAATACGATTATCATGGTTTCATTTTCATTGTTCAATATGGTAAATGGCTTCCCGCCAACTTTACTTATTTACACTTGATCAAACAGCACTTTTTTCCGTTCATCCTGCCAGTATTATTTTTTACTGTAAAGCTGTGATATTCTTAACATTGTTAAAGAGCTATTATCTATGTGGCTCTATCCAGGCATTCCACAAGTTTGACGAAATGGCATCCAAGTTGACAGAACAGCTCCGCAAGCTCACCAAGCAGGTGTCGTGTCAACAGCAAGCCCTACACTGCTGCCCCTGCATGCACCGATCCCACAGTCATAAAAGGAAAACATATGTTGCATATGTCTAATATTAGATCAATACAATGCTTTCAAATGACAAACACCGTCACGGATGAATTTCGAAGCTAGTGCCTTGTCATTACACGGGACTTGCATGATTTATGGTGTGGGGATGTGAACAAGACTGGATGAGTTGAGCCTGCTTCAATTTGCAGCCACAACCAAATAGTAATTTATAATTCGGGGTAGTGCGTGAGTGACACACCACCAGATAACACACAGCACAAATTCACTGACGCCTAATATCTAAACACACCCCGGCACCTACACCCACATACTCAGTCAAGGTATGCATTCACAGCCCTTTCAGCTAAGAAGGAAGCTACTTGAAGCCCTTGTCAATGCCCTCCAATAGGGTTGCAATATATTGTCTTGCTCGCATGTATGTATGTATGCACGTATATTGAATTTATCTCCACCATATGTAGCCAACCATGCTCATCGGAGGTGCGGGGGAAGGACAACAGACTAAACACAAAAATCTGTTTTTAAGAAATTAGTTTTTAGTCTAGATTTAAAAGGGCATAGCTCCGGTGGTTTCCTGATATCGGAAGGAAGTGCGTTCCAGACAGCCGTAGAAGCGCATCTGAAAGTGAACATATGTTCGTCCACGCATTTTCCGTTGGAGTCAAGCGGTGCATGTATCCTTACTGTGCATGCCTCTCACCATTACCACAATCTATCCCATGCTGAATGTAACCTTCAAATTGGCACAATTTTGCTTGACTTTTATCATTATGGTTTGTGGAAAAAACAACTTAATCGGCATTCTTCCCGACATGACAACTTGATTTTATTGGCTCTGTCAGGTGGTTGTGAAAGCCTACATATAAAAGCTCTCTCTAAAAGTGTGTTTGCATGTATGTCTCTTACAATAAACCTATGTTACATTTGGCCAATAAGGACCTGCACCTTGTAACAAACATGAAAAATTCATTTCAGCCATGTTCAGTATCTCCCCTAATGTATGTACAGGGCCTTGAATATTACACACATTGTGTTATCTTGAGTGCTTATGAGGCAGAACCCCATCTTAAATTTAGAGCAGTTCCTTTGAGCTGAAATTGTTGTATCAATTTTTTTAAAGATGGGTATGCAATGAACTATTAATGATCGAATCCAGTTACCTTGCCAAAAAAAGGTCGGTAGATAATTTTTGTTGCATGGATATCTAAAGGAAGGCTTCTCAAAGATGGAACTGAGTGTCCCGTGGGGTACCCGCCCCTGTGTATCTCAGCAGGTCCAGGATGCCCGGGCAAACCGTGATGACGACGGCGTGAAAAAAGCCGTCAACGACTATGACGAAGTGCTGGAGAGGTGAGGGCAGCTCAAGGGTCAGCCCAGTCTCATTACTACAAGTGGTCATGCAATTTTCATATCAGGGCTCTACGACACATTTGACCACTTGTGAGTTGTGACGTAGCCAACACGGTGGCGTGTAGCATAGTAATGACAAGGCTCGATTATTGCAACTCACTACTCTACGGGACGTCTGGCAAAAAAAATGACCAAGCTGCAGCGTGTACAAATTCTTTTGGCACGTGTCGTGACAGGTACTGCAAGATCCGACCATGTCCGTCCAGTGCACGCTGAGCTGCATTGGCTTCCGGTTGCCGAACTAATGCATTATAAGGCCGCACTCGTTACGCACAAAGTGCTTGCCGCAAGTGAACCACAATACCTTGTTGATCTTGTCACGGAGCATAAACCATCACGTGAACTCCAGTCATCTTTGCGGCTGCTTTTGGCTAGCCATTGGACAAAGACGGTCGACGCATTGTGCGCTTTCAAATGCGCTTCTGCGGCCGTCTGGAATGCTCTTCCGATATTAGGAAGGCACTGGAGCTATGCACTTGTAAATCTAGATTGAAAACTCGTTTGTTTCTAACTGCTTTTGTGTTTAGTTGTCCTTCCCATGCATAGAGTTTTCTATACAAGTCAAGTGTTGCTGAAATATGCTCTTGGTGTCTACTATTGTGACTATTAATTAATTAAACCCAGAACCACAGGATTATGTCCATTGTTTTATCCTCAAATCACTACTCACTGATTATTGACAAGTTTGTATATGGGGGAGAAAAAAACCACCAAAGCACTGAGAAAAAAATAAAATCACATTAAACAAGAACAATTCAATGTTCACAAATAAAAATATTGCTGCCCTATCTTAGTCTGGTATTCAGTAAAACCTAAATATTTGTTTTTGATTTCTGTTGCCCAGTTGGTTTGATAACATTTGAGAATGCTGTGGTCGAATGCCGCGCAGGTTCGTGCCGGTACTGATGGCGCAGGCCCGCATCTATTGGGAGCGTGAGAGCTATGCGGCGGTGGAGCGGCTTTTCCGCAAATCGGTGGAATTCTGCAGCGAGCACGATGTGTGGAAGCTGAACGTGGCACATGTGCTCTTCATGCAGGAGGGCAAGTACAAGGAGGCCACCGGATTCTATGAGCCCATTGTCAAGAAAAACTACGGAAATGTACGCTGTAGTCTCTCTTATGCACCGTGGCACATGAGTTCTGTTTGGCCCACTGTTGGTTACTTAAAAAAAAATTCCTTTTCCAAGCACAATAGTGATTAGTGGTATTTTGTTTTGTGACTCGCGTAACGAACTACCCGCGCATGTAAATGTACTGCATTTTTGTGAGTCCGTTGCTGGATGATGGACTCCCCATGCTGTGTGAGTTATGGGGCGGGATGTTTGTGCTTGGTCGTGCCTGTTGGTGCCAGTTGATGAAGGTGGCGAGCATAGATGTACCATACAACGATGCATTTTGCTGCACTGACCTCTGTTGCCTATATCATGGCCCCGCAAGCCCTATAGCAACGTTTGTGTACGTGGTGGTCATCCAATCAGGCACTATCCAGGACCATCCTGCTTAGCTCCCGAGACCTGACAAGATCACGCACATTTTTGGTGATTTCGTTAAAGGCATTTCAGATATTTTCTATGCATTTTCTTTGTCAGATTATACCTTTAACAAGTTAATGTTTATATATTTCTGTGATAATGTAATACTGCCTGAAAAATTCTAATACAAAAATTTAAGGAAACACAAACACAGTGCCCATGAAAAAGAAGTAACATAATTCTAAATTAGGAATCAATTTCAAAATTGTATTCATCTTAAAAGTAAACATAATATAGGTAAACTGCAGGTTATCAGTGATGAGCCTCTAGTACACCTCAGCATAGTCAATACAGAGGGGTTCTTCTAAATATTGGTAGTGCAAATGTGGAATATAAGTTTGCAGTTATATGTAGTCATTCTATTATGTGTATCCTATACAGCCTGCAGTATGTGCAATATATGTTGTGTGTGGCCTGTGCCATGTTTAGTGTGTGGTTGGCATGCTGTGAAATAATTTGCATGATATCTGTTGTTCCGTTCTTACTTGTAAAATGCAATCACATGTTTCTGCAGATTCTAGGCGTCAGTGCCATTGTACTGGCAAATCTCTGCGTTTCCTACATCATGACATCTCAGAACGAGGAGGTAAACAAGTCTAAAATAAAATTATTGCAAAATCAAATGCTTTATTTTCAAGAAAAAGGGACAGCGGTTAATTTTATTGGCATCCATTTTGCCCAAGCCCATAATTAGCAGTTTCACATTGGCATTTCTTAGAACCAAATGTGAATACAGCCGAAGAGTATATTACTACACATTTACATCCACAGTTGTGGACTTTTTAATATCCGTTGTTAGTGTGTAACTATTTTGGATTTGAATCTCCGTAGCTTTGCTGTCGTATTTGACCAGCAGACACCCTTTAATAGATATATGATTATAGCGAAGAAGACCACCGGGAAAATCAACTACAATTACAGATGCACAGACAAATAATCTCATTTTTAGCCTAGTTAGACATTTGCAACAAGGGCTGTTGCAACAAGTATGTTGTATCCAGCATATATATTGCACTAGCGGCAAGTACCCAGCGTTGCCCGGGCGAAAAAGGCACACACACACATGGACTTACACACACACATCGACATACACACACATCGACTCACACACATCGACTCACACACGCACATGGACTTCCACAGACACACATGGACTTACACACACACATCAACTCACACACACATGGACTTACACACACACACACGTGGACTTACACACACACATGGACTTACACACACATCGACTTGCACACACATACATGGACTCACACACACACATGGACTTACACACATCACTCACGCACATGGACTTACACACATCGACGCACGCACAAACACATGGACTTACACACACATCAAGTGACACACATATCGACTCACGCACACACACATCGACTTATACACACACACACACATCGACGCAGATATGCACATCGACTCACATGCACACATGGACTTAGACACATACATTATTTTAATATTTACTAACTTAATTTTTAAAGATTAGTTGTCTACATGCACACATTATTTGAATATTTTCGAACTGAATTTTTAAATATTAGTTTTCTATCGACGTGAGTTTAGCAAAAGAAGCAAGAAAATAGTACTTAACAGTGCCGTGGTGAGGCCTAGTCCCGTGCAGAGCCCCCGGCCTGGCCTAGATTGCCCAGCCGGCCGAGGTGGCACCTTGGCAGGCTGGGGCTGGGCTGCTACCCTCCCCCACCCACGATCTCCCCGCCCGCTCTGCAGTAATATCTATGGCCTATAGTAGTAGCATCTACCGACTCTATATTAGTAACTGCACGCATTGGGGTGGAGGGAGGAGAACAGGACATCACACTGTGAAGAATGAACCTCAGCGTTGTGTATATTTTTATAGTATTTTTAACGTGAAAGAGAATTCCCCCCTCCACGGATCGCGCGTGTGCATTGCTAGGGGCAACCCCAGGTAAGCTTTGTCGCGCATGCGCGAATGCGTGCTTTGGCACTCGCAGAGCGGCGTAAGGAAATAAAAAGAAATAGCGCTACATTGCTAATTTAACTACTTTAAAGTTGGCGGATGGGAAAATGGAATAGCGTTGGCTCACCACGGGGCTTATGGTGTGGTACCTGGCTGCTGTTTTTTTTTAACGTAAAGCCCACGGTTTGCGAGCCAAATCCTTGCGTCCACACACAGAGACACACAGACAGATTTCGATTTAAAGCTTTCGTGACTGCAGGGATTCATTGAATTGTTTTATTATGTTTTATTTTTATTATTTTATTACTTCCCTTCTACGTGACTTTACCGAAAGAACCAAGAACACAGACAGATGGACGGACAGACAGACAAAGAATGCCTTTTATATATAAGAAGATTGGAGTTCATTTGGATAGTTCCAAGCACAGCCGCTTGTATTTACCAGCACTGACGTTGAAGTGCTCTAATTAACGAGTACACCTCTCATGTTGAGCTGTGTGAACATAGTTAAGTGGGTGCACTTATATACATATATTTTTTTAAATACCCCAATGTATTTGATACGCATTTATTTAAAATAAATACATGTCGATATGTATTTCCTTGAGTGGGATATGCTGTTTAAGGAGGTATTATTCTTTTTAATGCTCACTTCCAAACTTCCAAAGCCCTTATTACACTAATGAAGAGCACTTAACTGAACAACAAAGATAACTGTAGTAACAAAGGCCTCTGATGCCTTCCTTGCAAATGCAATGCTAGACTTGCTTGCACTCATACATTTCTTAAAGCTGTTTTATATTTACACCATTGGTACCTCATTTGTCAGTAAAAAATATGATAATTGTTTTTTTACCCTTTTATCTGGCAACAAAACTGACACCTTTTTTACGAGGAGTCATGTTTGCATAGACCACAATACCTGCAGTCATAATGCAAAAAAAAACATAACTATGATAATGTATGCACTGTCCTTGAAGTTGATTGGTCCACACCCGAGACAGCTTTCCTTAGAGCCTAGTCTCACATGGGTTGGTCCAGATGACGCCAAAAGGCGCACAAAAAGGCGCACAACTCAAAGACAATGCACATTATCAGAGTTATGTTGCCAGATAAAAGGGTAAAAAACCAATTATCCTGTTTTATATTTCTTAAGGCAGAGGAGCTCATGAGGAAGATAGAGAAGGAGGAGGAACAACTTGCATATGATGACCCTGACAAGAAGACCTATCATCTTTGCATCGTCAACCTCGTCATAGGGTGTGTACACAAGACGTCCTCAACTAACAATTGACAGTGTGGCATCACAATACAGTTTCTACAAACAAGAGTAACATGCAATAAGTATCAACCCTTCTAATATAATTGAATGCCACTTTAGGTCAGTACAAATCTCTGACTCTATTAAACTTCCTTGATCTGTTTAATTCTCATGTAAATCTTATGTTTGAGTGTCTCGGTTTGTGAATGTCTACGCTGATGGCAACACAGCTTTGCCAAAGTCTGTTAACACTTGAACCAAACCTGTGTGTGCACACGTTTTCCCCCATAGAACTCTGTATTGTGCAAAAGGAAATTACGAATTTGGAATTTCCAGAGTGCTCAAAAGCCTGGAGCCATACCAGAAAAAGGTATGAACCCGAAATCTGAGTGAGAAAATCATCACTGGTTAGCCCTTGGCTGTTATGGAAATACTGTGAGTGACAACCATTTACCAAGATCAAGTTGAAGCACTGGTTTGTCTCGTCGTGTTTGTGTTCACGATTGGGTTTTTACAGGTACGGTATCTTATTACCACTGTGAAATGTATATAGGACACACATGTTACGTTGAGAGTAATCATTACGTTTGTGAAAAAAAACATTACAACCCGCCTTGCTGCCTGTTATTGTGCGTGCGTCTTAAAGCTGGGCACGGACACGTGGTTCTACGTGAAGCGCTGCTTCCTGTCCATGCTGGAGAACATGGCCAAGCACATGCTCTTGCTACGCGACGGTGTTCTGCAGGACTGCGTCGCTGCCCTGCAGCAGTGCGAGTGTATGTCTCCGCTGTTCTGTACCTCACTTGCCTCTTTGTGGTTATGGCCTGTAGACTGTGAAAATCACGAGTTCAGTAAACATTAATTACATGAGCAAAAAGATATAACAGGTGACCAGCTTGTTCAGTCTTTTATTCAAAATGCTAACGTTGTACGCACCAATGTACTTCTTGTTAGCCCATTTTTCTTTGTAAGCCATCAATTCAAGTTGTCAAATGAGTGATTTACTTGGGCTAAAGGTGACTGTAAGGAAGTCATTCCATCGAGTGGTGTTTTAGTGAAAGTTACAGATCATGCTTGGTGGCTGACATGCATTTTACCAATGTTTCTTTTTATGACCTAATAATAATACTTGAACTTTATATAGTGTCATTCAAGCCTCACAGCTTTCCCCAACCGGACGCAATGCACGTGTGTGTGTGTGTGTGCAGTGTATGGCCGCAACATCCCAGCCATGGTGGAGCAGCCCCTGGCGGAAGAGCGAGCGCATGGCGGGAGGAACACCGTGACCTACGAAGCGCGGCTGCTACATGCATTGATGCTGCGCGTTACGGGCTGGAGGCAGTGATACGTACACTCGGCGCACACAGGCGCCTTGCGCAGCAGAGGTGCTCCCACATACAAAACAATCTATCTGTGTTGTATTCGGCACGTCAGCCGATATGCGCACGCAACAATACGCTCACGCTCACTCACAGTAGCCTAAGGCACCATGATTACAAAGCCGAGTCCATGCTGAAATCGTGCCTCGATGGCAACGTAATGTACCTTGCCTTTATTACATCTGTACGAATACATACTCATGCCCACTCCATATATCAGACAGTTGTGTAATCAAGTACATATGCGTACGCTTACTTCATTTTCATAAAAAAAACAAATTTCACTCGAGACACTTGACAATGTTTACTGCACTCATACACACGACTCCCAATGCTTGTTATACTTTTATTGCCTCTTAATCATGTACATGTACAGCCCTTTGTGTCAATCCACCGCCGGGTTTTGGCGGTTGATTTTTTGCGTATGGTTGAACTTCTTTCGCCACCGTATGTTGGGCCTCGGCAAGGTAAGGTAAATTACCCTTTTTACCGGGTAAAAGGGTGAAGGGTAAAGGTGTGTTGACATGCCAAGGGGTAAGGTAAAGGGTACAGGGTAAAGGTAGCTCGGAAGAATTACCCGGTAGGGTAAAGGTAGCGCGAAGTATTACCCGGTAAATACGGTGCCTTGGTTACTACTAAAAGCTCCGTGGCGCAAGTCTGTGGCCTCCATTTAACAAGTAATATTTTTAAAAACTAAAAAAAAACACGCTTTTATTAAATGTACTAGTAATGGCAGAACTCCACGACTCCAGGAAGTGGCCCCGAAGCTTGCCATGAAGTAAGGGACCGTGGGGAATTTACAGCCTGCGTCAATTTAGCGTGGACAATTAGACCCAAGCCGAAACATAACATATACAAAATAATGTTAAAAAATATATCTTTTTTGATAGAATATAGTCTTGTCATCAGTATGACATAAGTATACCAAGTTTGGAGTCGATACCACATTGGGAAGTGGGTTAAAATTGAGTTACAAGATTTGAGGATACGACGACGATGACAACGACGACATCAACAACGACAACAAGCGTGTAAAATTGGAATAATCGAGAGTATTCTATATGGATAAAGCGCTCTACCTAGCATTTACCGTTATAAACCTTGTTCAGGTGTAGTACCCTAGTAATTACCCTGTAATTGGGTAATTTTTATGGGGTAAGGGTAAAGGTAGGCTCGTTGCTTTTTAACTTTTACCTTACCTTGCTGAGGCCTACCGTATGTAGCCATCAATACTCACTGACCACCAAGCTGGTCAGTGAGTATTGATCAAGGCAGGGAGCATAGAAGTACAGTACACATAGATTTTGTTGCACTGGCTTCTGCCCACAATATAGCGTCATGGATTTTAGCACGTTTTATTAAAGATTGTCCATCCAAGCACTATCATCCAGGCTCAAGTCGGTTTAGCTTCTAAGATTTGAGGAGACCCAGTGCATTTCAGGTGATTTGTTCAAAAGCTTTTGATATTTGTATAAAATGTTTAAAATAAACTCTTATTTTCCAAATGATCCTTGTGGTGCTTGTTTTATATGTGTTTGTGTCAGAATAAATTAGTCTAATTCAGGGATTTTATTTCGAGAACGAGCAGCTTTTACTTACAGCATGTGTTATACAGTTAAACAGTTGTACACAATTTACATTAGATTACCTCAATTTACATAAGATTGCCTCAGAAATTCCTTGAATTTATAATCTGCATTGGACCCACGATTGAAAACAAGATGACTCAAGGTATCAAAACAGCCTCATTATATACGGAGAAATTACTCATATCAAGGGGGAAAGCCAATACTATTCAAAGTGAAAACAAATCAACGTTCTTCCTTTTTAGGCACTTGGCTGCATGTATCAACGCCCTTTCACGTGCTAAGAATAAACATACGCGTGGCGTTTGCAGAGGTGTTCCCTGGAGGTGTGTGTGTGCATGTGTATAAAGCACGTGGGTGCTCCGTCCTGCAAGTTCCTGTGCCTCAGCTTAGCCATGGGGAGGACAGCTGTGTACCTGTCCGCGCTATGCGTGTGCTTGACTGCGCCAGCGCTCACCGTTACCGAGCAGGTGGCGTTGCGTATTGAGGACGCAGATGTCATCCTGGGCGCCGTGTTCCCCATTCACCTGAAGGTCACGGGCACCAGCGGCGACGACAGCATGGGAGACCTGCCCTCCCAGCGGCGTTGCACCGGGTAAAGGAGCATCACATTTGACGGGCATACAAACACTGCTTATGTTTATTTTTTTGTACATTATTCTATGATCCTGATTGACATTCAGCAGAGCAACTCAAGAGCTGCTTTGAATAAGATTATTTGATGCGTTGGCAGCGATGCACAAGGACAACTGCTATGAAAAAGGGCCATTGCCCGAAACGTTGCCAATTGTGTGGTTTTTTTTGGTTGGTGTATGTATGTTGAACTTCTTTCGCACTCTACGTAGCTATTCGGAGGTGCGAGGAAGGACAAACTACACACAAAGCAGTTCGTGTTGACGAATGTTTTTTGTTACTTTATGTGTTGGCATTTAAATGGGATGTCAGCTGTTTATTGATACAATTTATTTATTGATTAGTATTAAAAAATATAGAATTAAGCTATGCACAAATATGTTGGCAAACAAATGTTAATATTTTCACATGAGGCATTGCATATTTTCATATTAGCCTCTGAATATTCTTTGCTACATTATGCATCAAATGAAAACCTACGAATATGACTATAGGACTTTCAGGATTGATTCATAAACAGCCGTACATTGCTGTGTAATGGGCTGTCATAAATGCAAATAAACATTTAAGCAAAGCATATCAGTGTCCAAGTTGAAACATTGCCCAATGTGTTTCATTGTTCAGAAAAAACATTGCCAAATTAAAATTCCGGTCCTCGAATTGTAAATGCTGTGGGTTCACTCTCCAACACACCGGTGTGCTGGACTAGTAACGAATCGGCATGTTTTGCTTACGTGACAAACCTTACTAATTGGCTGTGTCGGGTGGTAGCGGGTTTAACGCCACATTTATATTTACGTGATATAACCCAAAACAACTTACGAAGTGCAATTTAATGCAACCTTGCAATGTTTTAAAAATGTATTTTTTTTATAAAGTAACATACACGTGGAATGTACTTTGGAATTTGTGTTGTGTGCATTGTGGCATTATGAACGTGACTTTCGGCCGTAAATATGGCATGCATAGTATTTACCCCATCGCTGTGTTCATTTCACACTCATCATCATCACCATCGTTTAACATGCAACCCCGTTGTGCGTGGCCGCATAAGCCTGTACATGCGGTACCTCACATGGATGTACACCATGCTGTACGCTATCGACGAGATCAACGAGAGGCAAGATCTTCTGCCCGACATCAGGCTCGGTTATGACATCTATGACTCCTGCACGAACGTCATGAAGTCCCTCGAGGCGGGCGTGGCGTTGATGAAAGCAACGGAGGACCTCACGAGACCACCTCTCGTAGGGGTCATCGGAGATGGAAACTCGAAGTAGACCGTTGTCTTAGCCCAGATGCTCGGCTTACACAACGTGCCACTGGTGGGTATAACTAGCCCTGTCGTGTTTGGGGGTATGGGGAGGGGTGGTTGGGTACAATATTCCAGATGTTGTAATGACCGCTCGCACACACTGATGATATTACAAACAGCCTGCAATAGCTCGAGGGGTCCGGACAAATGCAAAAAAATGTGTACAATTAAGCCTATGGGTGTCACAATATGTCCTCATATGCGCAGGAGCTAAGAGCGGAATGCATGATAGACAAGAACACATCAACATCATCATTAAACTCTTTTTGGTGTTTAACAGTTCTGTTTGTGGTTTATTACACGTTGACTGTGTCGTACCCCCTGAGTGTTCGTATGCCGCCCTCCAAGGGGTGAGTAAAGCACAGAGCATTTTGGGGGTTTCTTACCACGTGCAAAAGACTCAAATCTGGTCCTGGGCCCCTCTGTTCACCAACCCGCGCTGACCGGTACGGTGAAGTAATGTCAAACAATCCCCATTAACCGAAAGACCTTCATTCGGCAGTATATTAACACAGAGCTGTAAATGATGGTCATTATAATTTCATATAGAAAAAAACTATAAATATGCATGTGAATCTCTTCTTTGTTGTGCAGATAAGCTATGCTGCCTCGGCACCTGCTCTCGGCAATAAAGCGGAGTTCCCCACCTTCATGCGCACCATCCCCGGTGACAGCTCGCAGTCAAAGGCACTGGCGGAGCTGGTCGGGCACTTTCGCTGGACCTGGATCGGCACACTGGGCTCGGACGACGAGTATGGCCGCCAGGGCCTTTCCCACTTCGAAAACGAAGTAGCATCGATGTACAAAGTGTGCTTTAGCTTCAGGCTGTGGATCCCAAAGAATGCTCAATACGACGACATCACGAAAATCGTCGACACCATTGCCGACTCGAATGCGATGAGCATCGTCGTATTCGCCATCGACACCGACTTTGAGCCAGTCCTCAAGGAAGTGGTCAGACGCAATATAGTGGACAGGATCTGGGTGGCCAGCGAGGGGTGGATCACATCTCCCTATTTAAATAGACCCGAGTACGCACCCACGCTGGAAGGGACCATAGGATTTGATGTGGCCCAAGGCAACGTCCAGGACATCATGGACTACCTGCGGAACCCCATGCGGGTAGCGGAAAATCCGTTCGGGGACGAGTATTTGAAAGAGGCTTTCGGCTGCACGCTCCCCACCGCAGGGCCAAATCATTCTGACACCTCAACTGATACAAATAATGCCACCTCTGCAGGCAATTTCCCTTCTGCTGCCACAAGCAATGAGACCGCTCCAAATAACTCCAAATATCCAGTGGACATTACAGCTGCAAGCAGCAAAGCTACTGTAGCAAGCTATACATCATCTCCAGACAACATTTCTTCTGCAAGCAACAGGACTGCTGCAAGCAATGCGCCCACTCCAAGCAACTCCATCCCTACAGATAACGCGACTGCTGCAGGCCAGGGGGAGATTACTGCAGAAAACACCCCCTCTGCCGAAAACCTGACATCTTCTGGCAACTTCACTTATGCGAGAGATATAAGATCCACTGACAACTTAATCCCTACAAACAACAAGGACAGGCCCACGACTCGCCCCCATCTGTGTGACGTGAACAGGCCAATGAATAGAATGGAAAATTATTTCCTAAACGAGGCGGGGATGGGCATCCCGTTCGCCGTCTACTTAGCCGTCTACACGGTAGCACACGCACTCCACGACCTCCTCGACTGCGACACGAAGAGGGGAGCTGATGAGAAAAGCAGTTGCGCCAGTGTGTCAGACATCCAGCCGTGGCAGGTGATTGTGGACATCGACACAGCAATCCTCAGTACCTCCATCATAAAATGCCTATACCTTTTAGGTTGCATGAACGCGGTTCAGAGGGTGGGCTGCAGTTGGGCCCCAGTCAAGAGAAGTGCTTTCAACTGGATTCATCATCATCATGATCACACATGCTGAATTCATTAATCGGAAAATTATCTCAATGACCATGTCATAAAATGCCACCCCTAGACTTTGGCAGCACATTGCTCCTGTTTGAGGGTGGGATGAAGTTCATCCCACCCGATGAACCTACCACCTCGAATTTGAAGTTTCCAGTTGCAGGTGATAACTCATGTAGGTGGCTGCTGGGAGTGTGTTCATCATGAGCGCTTTCTCCACCAGACTGGTGCATGCTTCAGAGGAGAACTGGTCTGGTGGGAGCCTTGTACTGGCACATTGTTGCGTGTTGCTTTCGCATCCAGCTCCTCAATTAATCCACCTCGAGACACGTGCTGCCAGTAACCCTGGACAGTATACAGTATACTTAAGGATTATGTTCAGTTTTTAGTATAACCAATATCAGTTACACATGTGTCACAGTGGTGCAGAATTCTCAGTCTATTAAAAATCGCCCTGTTTGGCTATATTTGTTTTGTTCCACCTACACAGATGTTAATGAAGATGCACGATTTAAACTTCCAACAAAATAATTACAGTGTAAAGTTCTTCAAGAATGGCGACCCGTTGCCACACTACGTCCTCAAGAACTGGCAGAGGCAGAAAGACGGGACCTTGGTTATCAAGAATGTGGGCACTTACGAGTACAGCAAGGAAGGGACCAATGCAAGCGCTCTCCATTTCACCTCCGAGCCCATGTGGAAGAACTCCAGCTCAACGGTAGGTCCAGAGCTCTTGGCAACAAAATCATAAGTGCCGGCTTGTGGCTCAAGTTAAGAGGAGGCAACAAATGTGTATATACGTGACGTTCACCCTTTTAAATGCTCTCCAGCTAAGGTTGAAAGCCTTCATGAATTTGTTCTATCCGTCTGCTAACTCTTGTGACAATGGTCCAAAATTTGTTGTTATTAGGAACTGACCCTATTGACACTGACCAATTGGATGAAAGGGTTTCCCAAAACTTGGCAATAAAAAAATTATCACCAAGTAGAGAAGCCTTTTCGGTCATTGTTATAATGTCACATACCATCTGCGTTATG